CGCATGCTTCACACGCATTTTCTTAATTTTATCTTCTACTATATGTTCTACGGTTAACTTATTCAATAGTGGTCGGAACTTGTTCATGTTTCTGTCCATTATCCACGCCGTTTTAATGATATCCCACGATGCTATTTCTTCAGATGTATCTTCTTTCTTCAGTACTAGATCCTTTGTTAATAAATTATTCCTGATCCCCTTAATGAGATGAGGTGGATCGTACAATGGAATAATTTCATAATTTCCTACTTCGAATGTTTGCCCTACGAATTACAAATCACGAATTACAATTAATTTATCACATATTAGTAGGACATACTTGTAAATATTACTTGTTATAGCATTGTTGTGTTACATTACTTACTTTGTGTTCTTCTCTGGAAATTTCGTGTCATATCAGTGCGCAATAACAGTTCCGTTATTGCACTGACATTACATGTTCCTTGGTCGCAAACTGTTGCAACGATGTGGAAGCCTATATTGTTAACCGTAGAAATATGTTCCTTAATACAACGAATTAATTGAGCGCTACTAGTTTGTTTAAAACAAAAACTGTACGAAATTGGCATCTTCCAGCCGGAATGTAAACCGCGAAGCATAAAAACTAACGCGTGATCGGCCATTTTTTCGCTACGATTATTACCCCAATCCTCAAGGCCACATATAATATCCTTCCGGCTATCATAGGTGACTTTGGGTTGGATTGATACCTCGTCCCACATCAGAATACATACTTTATCCTTCATGGACATCTTTGAAGCTACATTCTCCAAGTGTCTCAAGATAAAAGTATTTAAACCGGTGGAAAGAGGTATTTTATGTAGCACCGACTGTAACGTTTGAATCGACGGAATATCTGTAAAGAGTTGACGCAAACATGAATATGCACGCTTCCCCATCGTTTTGTACAACGTTAGCGCCAAGGCCTTCTGCTCTTCTTTATAACGATGTCCCTGCATGAGATGGAAAATTGTTAATGAAGTACAAAATATGCAAATTGTATCAACTGCTGCTAGAAGCATTTACTGCAGTGCATTAGTAAAAGCATTTACCACAGTGGACAAGAAATGCATGCACTAGTTTTCTCCTTACTATTCTACCAGGAAATGGAACGTTTACGAAAAAGAAAAGTACATTTCAAGCAACCATTACCACAATAATCATAATAAATAATAATACAATTTATGATGTACAAAATAGAAGCTCATATAATTACTTGTACAGTAATGTTTCTTCATCTATTGTCATTGAAATTCGGAGGCAAACAAGAAAATATGTTATGCTGGCACTGATAAAAAGGAAGGAGAAGATTTGTATTAAACAGAACATGTTATATCTCATTTTGTATTCCTCATGATTTTATTTATTGTATCGTTTTAGAAGTATTTCACCTTTCTTGTATATAACACTGTCTTCTTTTCAATCAATATTGTCATGCAATAAGCATTATAACATGTCTATATAATTCATTATTGACATAATAATTATCTGTATTTCTGTTGTGAAATAAAATGTAAAGATAAACAATATTTTACGCAATTGCAAG